TTTAAAGTAGCAAAAGGATAGCTAAACATAGCTGAATTTAATGCTAAAGTAGCAAAAGGATAGCTAAAAGTAGAAAAAAATCCATCTAAAAGAAGCAATACATCAGATAAAAGTAGTAAAAGGCTAACAACAGCTAAAAGTAACAAAAGATTTGCTAAAAGAAGCAAAAAGTTAGTTTATGTAACAAAAGGATAGCTAAACATAGCTAAATGTACTGCTAAAGTATCAAAAGGATAGCTAAACTTTGCTGAATTTAATGCTAAAGTAGCAAAAGGCTAGCTAACAGTAGAAAAAACTAGCTAAAAGAAGCAATACATCAAATAAAATTAGTAGCAGACTAGCAACAGCTAAAAGTAACAAAACACTAGCTAAAAGTAACAAAAAGATAGTTAAAACTAGCTAAAGGCTAGCTAAAAGCTAAAACTACTTTGAGAAGACAACCTGAACTAGTAGCTGAAACAAATTTCAAAGAGAACAGGAAATAAAGAAATCTGAATGTATTTCTTTGGAGGGAAAAAAAAAGTAAATAAAGTTAAATATCTTGAAATGTCTTCGTAGCTGAAGTCTCCTGAATGAGCCGAACGTTTTGATGTTTGAGCAGCTAAAAAAAACACAAAGTGGTCAGATTTTAAATAAAAACAGGAAAAAGAAAGTGCGACCTGAGCCACATGTTGGTCAGTAATGAATGACCCCCCGGCTGCAGATGTTTGTTTCCGTTGGTGCTAACCCCCCCACCCCATCCCCCCTGTGTGCCCAGGTTGGTGGTTTGTCAGCACAGCCGAGGAGCAGGGCTGGGTCCCGGCCACGTACCTGGACTCCCAGAATGGAACCAGAGACGATTTGGACCTGGGCACCTCCAGGACCGGAGAAGGTTTGTGCTTTTCCAACTCAACTTTATTAAACTCATAAAACACAAACAAACGACATAAACGTCTCTTCGGCTGCGTGGAGGAGGCCGTGATTTCTCAGCTGAGATGTATTTGTTGGGTTTCTTTTTCACGGGTCGTTCTCAGACGTCAAAATAAAATAAAATGAATCTTTTTCGGGTCAACACATTTACAGACACACCTCCGGCCCGACATTCGGAGCCTCGGAGGCCACAGTCACATGGTGAAACGGTGAATCGGTACTGGACTGCAGCCGGAGCAGAGCGGTTGCGACACTTTGGCACCGCAGAACATTCCTCTCAGCTCCACCGGGACGCTGCAGCGTTCTGCGGGAACCTCGTCTTGTCGTGACTCTTTTCTCCTGAATGCTGTCTGACTCAACGTTTCATCACTGTGACACAGCCCCCCCGCCCCCCCCACTGCCCCCCGAACAGATTTATGATGTGCAAACACACGTCTGCTGCTGCGTAACCCAACTTCTCAGAGGACGACCACCGTCGGTTTGCAGAGCGATGGAGCTGAGATGATGCAATCGTTCCTGAAGCTGTGAGCTGCTGCTGACAAACATCTTCTGTCTCCGCTCTGCAAACCACACACACACACACACACACGCACACACACACACACACACCAGCTGGCACATTTAGATCTCTTACAGTGTTGCCAGTTTTAGATGAATATTGGTGGCTGTGATGGTTTTAATATTCAACTAGAGAAACTGCATTTCCTGTGAAAATGCAGTTTGAATGCTTACTGCAGAGGAGGTGTAGCTGAAATGGAAGAACAAGCCTAAATTAGCAGGATAAATCAAAAAGAGCACACATTTGCGGAAATCAGCAGAAATTAGCAGAAAATTTAGAAAAGTAGCTAAAAAAAAAAAAAGCTGAAATTAGCAAAAATGTAGCTGAAAAGTAGCTGGTGGGCAGAAAGAAGCTTAAGATACCAAAAGGAAGCGTAAAGAGCTAAAATGAGCTAAAAAAACGTGGAATTAGCTGAAAAATCTAACATTAGCATAAAACAGCTAAATAGCATCTGTTATTTAAGAATAAGCTGAAACTAGCAGAAATAAATTGAAAGGAGCATAACAAGCTGAAATTAACAGAAATAAATTAATTAGTCTGAAAGTAGCAGAAATTACCATGAAAAACGTGAATTTATCTGAAAACAGCTGAAATTAGCTCAGAAATTGCTAAAAGGTAGCTGAAAACGTAGAGCAAGCTTAAATTAGCAGAAGAAAGCAGAAAGAACGTTTGCCCAATTAGGAAGAAAGAAGCAGAAATGAGCACAAAAAAGTAGAAATTATCTGAAAAAAGCTGAAATTAGGTAATAAAACAGCTGAAAAGTACCTTTAAAAGCAGAAAGAAGCTTAAGTTACCTGAAGGAAGTGGAGAGAGCACATTTGTGCTGAATTAGGCTGAAAAAATTGAAATGAGTGCAAAAAATCGCGGAATTAGCTGAAAAAAGCTAAAATTTGCATATAAACAGCTGAATGGTAGCTGAAATAGCAGAAAAAGATGAAATTTGCTGAAATAAGCTGAAAGGAGCAGAACAAGCCAAAACTAGCAGAAAGACGTTAAAAGAAGCACAAAAATGTAGTTGGCAGAAAAAAAATCTGAAAGGAGCACAAAACAGCTGAAAAAACAACTGAAATTAGCTGAAAAAAAAATTTGCACAAGGAAGCTGAAAGAAGCTGAACCAGAACAAAATGTGAAAGGAGCAGTAAAAGGTTGTAAACAGATCTAAAAACATGAAGGAGCTCAATTAATTTTCTATGAGGAAAAAAGTGGCAAAAAAGACTAGATATTTGAAAAAGCTAAAGTTGCATCAACACCAAAAGTCATAGCAGGATTGTCCTGAAAGAGCTGAACGTTTTGATTTATGATTTCTTGAAATAATTTGAGAACTGCAGGACGAGAATCGCAGCAAAACGTATGGAAGAAAAACGGATCACAATAGTGTGAATGCCTCATAAACATTCACTCTATACGAAGCTGACTGGAGGAACGGCGAAAGGTGCAGATGAAACTAACGGCGCTGCCGAGGCCGTTAATCCAGAGAAGACGGGATGAGACGGATGATGGGAGGCAGACACCAGTTCAACCCGCGACCACTCTGAGGTCGTTCAGATTTGGGTTTAATCAGTTTTTAGACATTTGATTTCACTAAACCAGGTCTGAGTAGTGTCATATAGAGAACTGAGAATGTTTCCCCCTCAGTTTTTCCAACATATAATCTGAACTCAGTCCATCCAGAACCAACCTGTAGGACCACCGGTGACCTGACGTGACCCCACACAGGCAGCAGCTTCATTACCTGAACGTCTCACCGGCTGACGGACAATGATTAAAGTTTTAATGAACATTTATCAAACTCCTTCCTAATGTAAATGATCATTTAGTGTATCTGTAATCAGAACTGGACCCAGTGTGGTGAGTTAGTCTTTAAGGTTTGCTCTGGTTGTTGTGTTCACTGTGAGCTTTACTGTGCTGTCCATCACCCAACATGACTCGTTAAATTCACCAGCTTTATCTCCGAGCTGACGCTGAACTCACACTGACGGGTTTTTACGAGGTACGGTCTCCGTGAAGTCAATTTATGCTCATTTATTTCTCTTATCGCACTCGTTAGGTGAACAATAGAGAGATGAAAATGTGACTCGAACGGCTCTGAACCGCGTTAAATTCAATAAAACACTTTACTTCAGATGTCGCCCAGGAATGCAGACCGACTAAACTTTATTATAAACAAAAATAAAAAACAATCGTGGCAACAGAACCAGGATAACAGGAGGCACAGAGGAGGACATGTTTAACGCTGCACTGAAAACAGGTTGCATGGACAGGTGAGCCTAATGAGACAGGGTGCAGGTGTGAGTGGGCGGGGCATAACTGAGGAAAAGCACTATCAATCAACCTTTATTTAGACAGGTAAATCTCATTGAGCCTCGAGGACTCATTTACAAGAGAGACCTGATTTCAACAAAGAACAATGACAACAATGGACAACAGCAACAACAATAAACAGTTATAAAAAGTCATACTACAGTTTTTTGTTTTTTAACAAATAGGATGGCTAAAAAAAGTAACAAAAAACAGCTAGATTCTAAGGCGAATGTAGAAAACTAAAAACAGGAACATGTCAGCATTGGTCCCTGCCAGGAGTCCAACAGATTCTTAAAGCCACTTAGAGAGGTCAAGGTCGAGAGCTTCAGATCTTTTTGTAAGATATTCCAGGAAACAGGAGCAGAGTAGGAGAAGGCCCTTTTGCCTAGTTCAGTCCTCACTGAGGGAACACTGCAGGTAATAATGTCCTGAGAGCGCACGCTGTAGCTGCACTCACGCAGAGACATGTAGGAGGAGATGTATGAAGCAACAGACCAAGAAGTGATTTAAAGATGAAAATGTACCAGTGAGAGAGTCTGCGTGAAGTTAATGATGTCCAGTTAACCAGTGAATACTGGGTGCAGTGGTGGGTACGATAATCACAGCCAGTTATGAATCTTAGTGCACCATGATAGACAGCATCCAACATCTGCAGGGTTCTTGTAGGAGCGTTCATGTAAATAATGTCACCGTAATCAATTGAGGGAAGGAAAGTCACAGATACAAGGCGTTTTCTAGCATTCAGGGTTAGACAGGATCTGTTTCTGAAAAAGAAACCCAGTTTAACTTTCAGTTTCTTTACCAAGTTTTCCACATGGAGCTTAAAAGAGAGATGCGAGTCGACCAAGATACCCAAATATTTATAGGATTCAACAAACTCAATGGGGACACCATTTGAGGATAAAATTGGAGGAAGAACTGCTGGGACCAACTTCCTATTTGAGAAAAGCATCCCTTTGGTTTTGTCGGCGTTTAGGACAAGTTTGAGGCGAAACAAATCAGTCTGGATGTAGTTGAACGCAGATTTCAAAAGCTGGAAAGTCTTAGCAACAGTTTTAGCTCGACAATAAACAACTGTGTCGTCAGCATAGAAATGTATGGATGCATTAGGGATGTTTTTACCTACATTATGTATGTAGATTGTAAAGAGGGTGGGTCCTAAGACTGAGCCTTGTGGTACACCATTGTTGACTGTTAAATAACTGGAGGAAGTACCATTATGTTGAACACATTGCCTCCGGTCTGAAAGATCGTTAGAGAACCAACCAACCAAGCCACTAACGTGGCTGGTGGCACAGAGGACAACACAGAACTGGTTAAATGAAAACCCAAGCACCAGAACTAAACAAAACATTATACCCAAAAGGAATACAGTAGTTCCTCGTTAATCGCGGGGGATCCGGACCCTGAAGCCCCACGATAAGCGAAAAACTGCGAAGTAGGAATAGTACAAGTAGTAGTAGTTTTTATAAAGGCGTTTTAAACCCTTTCCACATTTGCAATATTTTAAATAATCTTTCTAAACTCTAAACGCTCTAAAACAGCACAGCATGTCATGATTTCAGTTCTCTTGGCCACGCCCACTTCTCCGTTGCAGAGCGGAGATATGACACGCTGCAGGAGGAAGCTTCTCCTTCAGCTGTGGGCTGCACACAGGTGCAAAACAATTTATTGAAAATAAAAATTCCATGCTGATCGTGCGGCTCATCCATCAATCAGCCAATCATGTGTCACGTCCAGTCTTATTTTGAAAAACCGCGATAGAGCGAGCCCATGAAAAACAAACTGCGAGGGACTACTGTAAACACAAAAACCCATCAGGAAATAGAAGCACTGACATCAGAATGAATCAAGCAGCTGGGGACATGTGAGCATCATCTGCATACGAGCGCAGCAAACTGTAAAACATTTCAGGGCGCACGTTTTACAGTCGAGTGTGAACAGAGGCGCTGGAATCAAATCGGCCGAAACAGATTCATAACAACAAATCTGAACAACGTGACGGACCAAGTCATGAGCCGCGGATTAAAAAACAGAACTGTTCTACGTTTCTGCTCGTCTATATCAGATGTCTGATTTTAACCTCTTTTTTTTTTAATTAAAGCAAAAAAATAAAACATTATTCCAACAAAAAAAATGTAATTAAATTATAAAAAATATTCAGCGTCGACACCTCGAGTTTTGCAAATAAAGTGTGTTTGAGCAGGAAGGTCAAAGTTCAATCTGCAGGTTTAACCAGGAATCAACAAGAACCACATGCTGGGCTTTTATTTTTAAACCGAGCTTCCTGTTCTCAACAGGAAGTTGTCATTAAACTGGATGCTCCTCCTCCATCCTAACACCTCCACCTGCTCCGTCACCTCATTCTGCTGACGGCTTGACCCGCTGGAGAGCAACCGACGAGCGCAATTAGGAGGTCAACGGGAGGAGCCGGGAGGCTGAGAGGAGTCAGGTGGGAGGACGGGATGAGAGGAAGAAGAAAGGATGATGACGGGAGGGAAGAGGGCAGGAGAACAGATGCTGAGTGTCTCATGGTTGGAGGAGGAACAGAAGAGGAGCTTTGTCTCCACCTGTCCTGAACGTGTTTGCTCCGTCCTCGGAGAAGACGCGACTAATCACTGTAGAACTGCTGCCTTCCAACCTACAGGAACGAAAAAGGTTAAAAGTTCAGCAAACATCCTGAGAACTTCAGATCAGTCTAATAACATCTGAAAATTAAACAATTTAACAACTAAACTCTGACTTCAGGTTGTTGAATCCTTCCGGTTCTTCTTCGGTTGTTTTTCCGTTCCTAACTGCAGCTTCTCGCCTCGCTCTGCTGATCCAAGCTTCTCAAACTAACATTCTTTATGTTGTTTTTTTTGTTGTTGTTGTTGTTGTTGGTTTGCTGCTGCGCATCATCAGTAACTAAAAGACGAAAGGCTCACCTGAAGAGGCTGGACCGCCGCTGGACCCTCGGGGGCATCGTTAACCGCCAGCAGAGCAGAGGTGAACACGCACACGTCACCGCCGCGGACAAACCTGTGAGAAACGTTTTTTAAAATCATCTCGCGTGACCACCGAGTCAAACGGTCCGACACCACGAGGCAGGAAGACGATTGTCGATTGACGGCTGATTGTGTTTTTGTTTATTTGTTAGCATGATGTCACTAAAGTCATCATTAAATGTCACTCTACAACGATTCAAGCTGGCCAGTGAGCTAATTAACCCCATAACACAAAAATGGCTATAACTCTGTCGATTTTACAGACATTTGGTGTGGTAGTAGCTGAGAGTTGTCCCTAACATAAACTCTGAGTGCTAACACGCCGCTCGTGATAGAATAATTTCCTGTATTTAAGCCCCCGTCACGGAGCCAAGATGGGGAATAGGAAATATCCTCCATCTGTCTATCCGTGCATGCTGTGTGCATACAAACTTGAAAAATCTGTGAGGTACTGACTTCCATCTTGGTTTGTGACTACATCTATGCGTAAGAAAGATCACTATTGAAAACTGAGTTGCCATGTCAAAATTCAAGATGGCTACCAACAAATATGTAAACCAGTTACCGGTACCCAAATCATTTGAGGAAACTGTGCTGTCTGGTTTTTATATTGCGTAAAAGTATAGTTTTCTCAAATGATTGGGGCCTGCAGAGCTAATAGCGTTAGCTCCAGACCTAATTAATATACATTAAATTAGCTCCAGACCTAATTAATATACATTACATTAGTTCCAGAGCTAATGGAGTTAGCTACAGAGCTTATATATATGGTGTTAGTGCCAAAGCTAATAGCGTTAGCTCCAGACCTAATGTACATGACATTAGCTCCAGACCTAATAGCGTTAGCTACAGACCTAATAGCGTTAGCTACAGAGCTAATTTATATGGTGTTAGCGCAAAAGCTAATAGCGTTAGCTCCAGACCTAACGTACATGACATTAGCTCCAGACCTAATAGCGTTAGCCACTGACCTAATAGCGTTAGCTACAGAGCTAATTTATATGGTGTTAGCGCCAAAGCTTATAGCGTTGAGTGCATGACATTAGCTCTAGATCTAATAGTTAGCTACAGAACTAATATATATGGCGTTAGCTCCAAAGCTAATAGCGTTAGCTCCAGACCTAATATACATGACATTAGCTACAGATCTAATAGTGTTAGCTACAGAACCTAATATACATGACATTAGCTCCAGATCTAATAGTGTTAGCTACAGAGCTAATAGAGTTGGCTACAGAGCTATTAGAGTTAGCTACAGAGCTACCAGTAATATATATGGTGTTAGCCCCAAAGCTAATAGCGTTAGCTACAGACCTAATATACATGACGTTATCTCCAGATCTAATAGCGTTAGCTACAGAGCTAATAAATTAAGCATCACAAGTTAATCACTTTTGATTGTTTCGACCAATATATTGTTCATAAGGACTAATACAAAATACAACTTTATTGTCAGATTTGATATAACTTTTTAACCTCAACTCCTTCTGTTTTAGTCTCCACTACAGCCGATGTACGTCATCGCCCCAGAATGCATTGTTCCGGTAAAATAATGGCAACATCCTAAACATGTGTAATTTTTAAAGTAATTAAGTGTCACGAACAACATTTAATAGAACAGAGAAATAACATTTTAAGGTTAATATGTGGAGTAGTGATTCCCCATAAGCTGTGATGACGACAACTCTGGAGGTGTGGCCAGCTTTTGAAGAAAACTGTTCTTCTTTGGTTAGTCGGGGCCATTTTGATAGCAGCTGCCTCGTGCACTAAAATGGTCCGGCGCTGGGTTTTGCACTTTACATGTGTGGAAAATAAACCTTTTTAATCGATCACATCTCCAAAACCTGCTTCAGACCTTTCTCTTGTCTGGGCAATAACTTTTGATCCGCTCAAGATAATTTACCAAAACTTCATACACATTTGCATCATCACTAGATGTAGTGTCACATAAGATTTCATTACCCCATCTTCATTATACAAGGTCTTTGCTTGTCCACACCATTGCTATAGATTGCAGTATAATGGTTTGCTGACGACAATGTGCCATATGTGGTACTCTATGTAGAACAATCCATACGTTGTGTGATGGATGTGACATAAGATTCAGTTCTTTGACTTTGTGGACAACTTAAGAATCATGTAAGAAGTTAGTTTTAGTTCAGTCTCTACCAAAGAACCGGAAGAACCTGCAACATCCTCAGAGCAAGAGGTGGGTCAGTTCTTGTTATACCAGATATTCAAAGATCACATGTTAACCCTTAAGGCAGGATGTCAACGGGAAACTTTTGGGAAAAGTACTGAAGGATTTCCATTTGTAAATTTCAAATTGTCATGTGACAATGACCTTGAAAACCTGCAAATAACGACCGGTTTAGAGACGAGACCTCTGAATATCATCTGTACGGTCAGTGCATTCGATCTATGTTCCTTCTTACAAGAATACTAAAGATGGGCAGACTTCTGGCATTGGAAACAAACGGACCAGCTTGAAAGATGAACATTGATAAATGGTGGAGTTTCAGATTGGTCTCCTTCAGCAGCCGGTCAGAAATGTTCTTCTCACAGGTCAGTTGATTCAAACATGTCCCGCTGTCCTGATTTACATTCATGGGCGAACACTGAGCAGGAGATGCATGAAATCTAACATTTTGAAAAGAGTCAAGAAGAAATTCATGAAGCAATTATAAAATATAAAGCAAAATAAAAGCTAAAGAGTACCAGCACCAAATAAAAGTGAAACCCTCGGGTCTTTAACCAGGTTTTCTGCTCTCTGCGGTGGCGACAGCGAGCCGGGTGACTCATTTCGGAGCTCCACAGAGACCAAGGTTTGTCTTGTTAAATCTGGTATTCTGATTGGACCGCTGCCCCGCTTTCACTTTCCATCAGCTCATTCGGCCCGAACCCGTTCAGATCTGAGAGACGTATAAAGTTAGGTACTGACCTGGCTGACCTCCACGTCCTCCAACTGGAGTCCATGACTTCAGTCACTGATGCTTCCATCGTTTGGGGGGACATGGCTACTCGTCTACTAACTGGACCCTGGCAGAACTGATAAAGGAGCGTTTGTTTTTATTCTGGGATTCTCCTGCAGCTTTAGAAAAACCCAAACAACAAATTCAAAATGACCTTTGTCGTAGTACAACGTCAACAAAATGCAACCAAAAACAGCCAAATCTGTCCTCAATTAGAGGGATTCTGCTGAAACGGATGATAAAACCCTGTCCCGTCTGGATCTTCACAACAGAACCATTGTTCAGAATTCTAGCGGGACAAAACTGCAGTTTTATGATGTTTTCCTGATTGAGCTGCTTGTTGCGATGCATATTTTGTTTTGGTTGGGTCGTCCTCACCCTGTAGGAGGTGTAGCTGTTAGAAAAGCAACATTTCCGTTACCACTAGTTCTGAGCCCATTTTATTTCGCATAATTAGATCTTTAAAATGGATCCAAAACCAATGGGACATTGCAGAACCCCTCCGTTAGAGGCTCTGTGTTGAAACTTGTTTTTTAGGGCGTCTCTGGTGAAATTCGCGGCTGCTCTGATTGGTCCGCTGATTTAAGAAACAGCTGCTTCTTACGGCTGGTTTAGTGACCGGTTAACTCTTCAAACCCCTTCGCCTTTCGTTTACTCATGCATCATTTAAAGACACCGAAACAAAACAAAAACAAGACTATAAAAACTGAATTTTCTCATAAAAAGCAGTGGGAACGCCGAGCACTGAACAACAGCTGATGATTACTCAAGAAGCTGAAACTGTGTTGGTAAAGCTAAAATAAACTAAACGTTAGCTTCAAGCTTAGAGAAACAGATTACTATTAAAAATGTAAGAGAAAAGGGAAAAGCTAGATAAACAAAAGCCTATTTGACAGCTAAAAGCAGCAGAAGATGAGATAAAAGCTACAAGTTTAAAAAGAAAAGCTAAAAGTAGCTAAAAATGATCTAGGACAAAAAGGAAGCCAAAGCCTAGCTGAAAGCTAAAAATACCAAAAGGATATCTCAATGAATCAGAAGCCTAGCTAGCAAGAAGTATCAAAATGTTATTTAGAAGCAGTAAGTATTAAAAGGTTAGCTAGAACCTAACAGTAACAAAAAGATAGCTAAAAGCTAAAAAATAGTCAAATGCTAGCTAAAAGATTAAAAAAAAAACAACAGAATACTAGCTAAAAGGTAAAAGGAGAAAAGGTAATGGCTAGAAAAACAAAATCCTATCTAAAAGCAGCAAAAGATGAGATTAAAGATGTGAATATCAAAACAGTAGCTAAAAGTAGCAAAAAATTATCTAGGAGCTAAAAACAAGCCAAAGCCTAGCTGAAAACCAAAAGGATAACTAGAAGTATCAAATTGCTGTTTAAAAGTTGTAAGTCTCAAACGGTTAGCGAGAACCTAAAAGTAACTATAAGAAAAAAAATGTTGGTACCACTTTACAATAAGGGTCCTCTTATAGATGGCTAATAAATAGTTTATAGATTAATTCCTCTATAAACACTTTATAAATCATTAATAACTGCTTATTATGCATTAATTAAGGGTGACAGAGACAAAACTGTCCAAAGTTGCTACCTTGTAAGCACAATAAGCATTTGTTAAACCTAATTTTTTAGGATAAAATGTTAGAAATATGTTTACAAATGGTTATTGTGCTTACAAGGTACTAACTTTGTCTGAAATGTTTAATAAAACAACTCTAGATGAAATATATAGGAGAACAGATTTGTCTCACTATTTGACAAGAAACTGGAAGTTTAGTCTCTGTCACCCTTAATGCGTAATAAGCAGTTATTAATGATTTAAAAAGTGTTCATAGAGGAATTAATAACATATCTATAAACTTTATTAGCATCTATAAGGAGAGCCTTATTATAAAGTGGTACCAAAGAGTAACATGCTAGCTAAAAGGTAAAAAAAATAGAATACTGTAATTAATAGAAGGTAAAAGGAGAAAAGGTAATAAATAGCTAGAAAAACAAAAGCCTATCTAAAAGCAGCAAAATACGAGATTAAAGATGTGAGTATCAAAACAGTATTTAAAAGTAGAAAAAGATTATCTAGGAGCTAAAATAGGCCAAAGCCTAGCTGAAAGACAAAAATAACTAAAGGATAGCTATAAGTATCAAAAGGTTAGCTAGAACTTAAAGTAACAAAAAGAAAGCTAAAAGCTAAAAATGTTCAAATGCTAGCTAAAGGTATGAAAAACTAGGTACAAGCATCTAGTTAGCTAAAAGTAAAAAGTATCACAGGAGGCTAGCAGCTAAAAGTGGCAAAATGGTTTCTAAAAATAATCCAAGTATAGGGGGGAAAAGTAGCAAAAAATAGTTAGCTATAAAGCTAAAAGTCACAAAAGACTACCTAAAAGCTAAAGGTAGCGTAACAGCAGCTGAAATCTAAAGTAGCATAGAGCAAAGACAAATCCAGCAGCTGAAGCAGATTTCAAAGGGAATACGTTTTTTTTTTTTTTTGTAGAAACTGAAGAAATCCCAACGTGTTTGTCTGGAATATGTTTGTAAATAAAGTTGTATTTTTTTAAGTATAAAAGCTACAAAAAACCACAAGCCTCAGCACTCATCTCCTGAATGAGCTGAACGTTTTGATGTACGGACGGTTAAAACAGCACCGAGTCAGCAGAAGCAGTTCGATCGGTAACGACGTGCAGGAAACAGGAACGTGAACGCCGACTCGGACTCTGCCAGAACGTTTGTTTTACGCTGAACCGTCTGAGCTCGGACCCCGGGCCGGTTCAGGGCGTCCCTGCGGTCTTGGAGAAGCCGACAGTCGTCCGACGGCAGTCCGAGCTCTGAGGTTCAACACGAGTGGCTCCTGCTTCTCCGCTTCCGTCATTAAGCTCCTAATTAGATTTCCAGAGTCCTGCTGGCCGTCCACTCAGCTCCCCGACGTGCTCGAGCGGAGCTCAGGAAAACAAACACAGATGCAGTTAATGCAGTTAATGGTCGAGGCCATCGTTAATGGTGTACCTGTGACAACCGAACACCTGGCTGGATCCAAGCCCTTCATTCTTTCCTTGTCACATTTTACAGCTGTCCGTTGTTTGAGTCGCCCCCAGAACCTCCTCTGCTCTGTTACCCTCCTCAAGGTCCTGGAAGGACTGCAGAGCGTGAGAGAGGAGTGGTGGTCAGCGCTCGCGGTACAAATTTCTCCTGGAGGAGAGCTTCATGTGGAGCTGCTGCTGGAAAGACCGTCTCAGGAGAGCTGAGCGCCGGACCACAGTTCAGATCGTCCGAAAGGGTTCCAGCGTGTAATCAGTCACAAGGGGACACTTCGACCACCAGAGGGAGCTGTTTGTTATCGTTTGGAAGAACGAGGGGAAATCTGTGGTTGTCACAATGAATCTTTTTATACGAGTCACATGCGGCATTTTATTGTGAAAAACCCAGTGATGATGTTTTCACTCAGTTTGTTTGTTCTCGTCTCTCCTTTGTTCGTCTCCAGAGGAGAAATACCTGACGGTGCAGTCGTACAGCAGCCAGGGCATGGACGAGGTGAGCTTTGACAAAGGGGTCACCGTGGAGGTGATCCAGAAGAACCTGGAGGGCTGGTGGTACATCAGGTGGGTCAAGTTTTCATCCGAACCACCCTGAACGCACACTCTTTGACGCTGAGTCCGCACTGAAACCGCTCGGTCCTCAGAGCGAGAAAGAGTTTTCATCACGCCCGAGAAAAGACGGGTCTCTGTCCGTAAACGTCGTCTTGTCCCGCCCAGAACTTCTGATCCGATCAAGATGACTTAATGAAACTTCATACGCAGCATCACTAGACGGAGTGTCGCGCACACTTTTCATCTCCCCAGCTCCAAGGTCACAAATCAAGGCTAAAGTTTGACAAGCTTGTCCTTTGCTGCAGAAAGTTTGTCTCCGGGCGTAGCATGTGCCGTTTTCCATCGCCGTGGTTCAGGCGGCTCAGCTGAGTGACCAAAGCTCGGATTTCCTGCAGCTCAGACCAGAACTGAGAGAACCCGTCAACACACGCCGGGGGGTCGTTTCCTTTCAGGTTTACAGTGGAGCTCTGATGATTACTTCACATGTGATCTGAACGTGCACGTTAACGCCACCCTGAGACGGCCTCAGTAATAAGTTTTAAACAGATTGGACATAATTTGAAGGTTATACAGATTATTTTAAAGAATAGAGTAAGGCAGGGGTGTCTAACCCTGATCCTGGAGGACCCCACCCCCCAGGACCAGGATTGGACACCCCCTGGACTGAACAGTCCTCTGACGTGGTGCTCTGAAAGAGAAAAACATGTCCTTCTCCTCTGGCAGCTTCATGTGACTGGTTAGCATATTTTTCTGTGACGCTTGCCGTTGGACTCCTCCGCAGCGCGAGAACGAGGTAAAGTCCTTGCGAAGCTGCAGCTGATGGGACGTTTGCCGTCAGAACCCTGTCTGAGTTTATGCTCTGAACGGTGACGTCATGCAGGAGGTTTGAAACGGGTCACGAAACAAAACAAAACCTCTGACCAGAAGATGGCTCACGTTCAGAGAAACGAGTCTACGCGTGTTTGGAACGTTTACTTGTTGCTTCACAAATGACTCATTTAGAATAATAATGAAGGCCGAGACGTTTCTGTGCATGAATTATGCAGGCGGTCTAATTGCCTTTGGCTCACTTGATGGATTTTATTGTGCTTCACATCAGAAACGTGCTCCTATTGTCAGCCTCTGCACAAAGCAGCTTCAGTACGCCTTCATGCAGGTTTTGATTCAGCTGGATGAACTTATGGTCCGTTTTAAACACGTGTAAGGGAAAAAAAGACACTCGAGAAAGTGCGATACAGTTAAATATTCTGAGGTAAAGTCCTCCATGCTGAGCTGCGATTGTGCAACAAGTTCTGAAAACAGCAGTCGGTTCTGCTGTGAAGTCTGAGCTGGAGATCCAAACAAGACTGACGTCCATGAAGGGATTTTCAGTTTCTGTGAGTCTTTTTCCTCGTCAGAGCTCAGGATTTCTCATCAAGCTGCTTATTTTGATGTATGTTTTGTCACGGTTTCCTAAAATCTGAGGAAGGAAATGCAAAGAGACAGAAGAATAAAAATCAATAGTGATCGTTGCGCTTCAATCTTGTGAGTTATTTCAGTCAGACGGACCAGAGGTTGCAGTTAATGTGCTCCGTAAACACATTTTCACAAGTAGTTTTGCTCATGTAAGAGATCTACTTTTACTAAAGTATTTTACAGTTTTAAAGGTGGTTTGGATAAATCAACTGAAAATGATAATAAACTAAAGAAAAGAAAAGCCGGTGTCTCACTGGGATGCATTTGTTGCAGCTGAGTTTTTGGAGAAATCTCCATTTTGGCAGTTTTTTTTTTTATGCTCGAGACTGAAGCGTCTGCACGCATCTCACTGTACTTCAAAAGGTCACAGCACCAGCTGGCATAGAACGCACATCTGCGCCATGTAAACGCGTGACCATCCAACATCAGAACAACGCTCATGTTTCCGGACATCGTTCTCGTGTAAACAGGACCCTAATGTAGTCATGGAGACTGAGGCGGTACGATGTGGGGCTGAAGGTGGAAATGAAATGCAGTTTTCAAGCCGTGAACCCAAAAATTGGTCGTGATTTTTAACAACTGGACTCCTAAATTGTGTCCACACGGCTCGCCGGTCACACACACAGATTTCAGTGAGACTACAACAGAAAATTTGCTTATTTTATCGCATTTTTTAAATTATTTTTTACAGTTTTAAGTCCACAACTAGTCTCTAACAGTGAGATACCACCTTAAATTATCCAAGTTACACATATTTGTTAAAGAAAGAGGGAAACTACCTTCAGATTTATTTACTTTAACCTTTTAGTGGTAAAATACCAAGAAACCACAAAGTAAACAAGCAGTTACAAAATACACAATATCCTTTCTCTTTATTGAACCTACAGATATTTAGGAAAAGAGGGCTGGGCCCCGGCCTCCTACTTGAAGAAGCTTCGAGACGACTTCTCACCCCGTAAGAAGACCCTGACGGGCCCCGTGGAGATCATCGGCAACATCATGGAGATCAGCAACCTGCTGCAGAAGAAGTCTGTCAGCGAGAAGGACATCCAGACGGACGGAGAGGGCTGCAGCACGCCGGAGCGCCACATCTCCAAGAGCGAGATCAGCCTGCCGGTGCCCTACAACTCCGAGATCAACGCCGAGACGGGCCGGAGGCTGAGCGCGGGCCGCGACACCAACAGCCCCTGTCTGGGGATGCTGGCGGCGAGCGCCGCCCTGAACGAAAACAAGGCCAGGGGCGAGGCGGGACCCCCCGCTGTCGCTCGAGTGGCACCTCACAGAGTGGAGATCGGTGAGTGTTGGATTGAACCCGTCGGAGCAGAAACGGCTGTTTTTATACAAACGAGGCTTGTTGTGTTTCTGCTGGAGGCTTTGACGCGATAGCTAAGCAACATGTCGTCTGTTTCTAACAGCTGTGACGTGCAAACCCGTGAGAAGACCCGACAGCAAGATTTGAGTTCTTGTTGCGCTCACGAACTGAGAAATGCGGGAACTTTCTGTTGATCAGTTAGTGTTGCAGCTTGTTTTAATGGAGATGCTCTTCTGCTCTTCAGGGTCCCCAAATCTGAGACAAAAACCTCCCCCGAGGAGAGAGACCAACTTGGTAAGACTGCACTGACAAAGACATTTATTATTCTGCAAACATTAGCGTGAGGAGGGTTCAAAGAGACATTTTAATGAACACGCTGTTTGACTCCCTGGTTACCATAGCAACTAACAAAGCATCGTGCTACTTTTTGTTCTTAAATGTGTTTAATCGGTAACGTATGAACGTTTTTCTACTGCAACTATCCAGACTTGAACCTTTTCTTGCTCTCTTCAGGGTTTCCAGTTGCCCAAACCTCCAGAGCCCCCTGCTGTGGAAGCAGAGTACTACACCATTGCAGATTTCCAGTCCTCCATCTCTGACGGCATCAGTTTCCGTGGAGGACAAAAGGCTGATGTAAGAGACCAGAGGCGTTTGTAGATACAGTCCGAGGCTGGAACCAGAACCACAGACGTGTGTTTGAGCAGACTGATCTATTCCTGCAAAGACAAAACATTAGGACAGGGTTGTTAATGCTGTCAGGGTTTGTTCAAAAAAGCTTATATAAAAGAGACAATACTGTAATTAAAAATGTTTTTGGATAAATAATGAGGGCTGGACTCGCTCCTGCAGCTCGCTGGTCGATCCGGGCCAGAAAAAATAAAAAATAATTCAGAACTAAGCGTTTCTACCATGGGTAAAGTTAATAAAAAATAAAATGATAAAAGGAAAAGTGATTGGAAAGCAAGCTCCATGGTCAGCCACAGAGCGACGGGAGGAACCTGGACCTGAAGGCTCCGGTGGGCCCGAGGGTCTTCACAAAACTCCGGACTGGAACTTTAAAAAAATTGTCAAAAGTCATTTTAGGTGTAGTAATGGAAGAAATTTCTTTTAAATTATTATTATTGATTTATTTGTTTTAAAGTAATATATAAATAAAGTCAGTTTAAACAAAAACTCAAAGGTTTTATTTTTTTTAACTAAAGGCCCTCAAAGAATAAAAACCCCCATTTAAATTAGATATTTTTATTTCAGTTTTAAAAGTCTGGCTCATTTATTGGGAAAAAAAACTTTAAAAATAGCATTTGTAAGCAGGTAAATAAGGTGGTTGACCCCATTAAAGAACTCTGATAAAGTTAAAGGACCTCCAGGGGTTAAAGTAATGATTGTAATTACAACCTGAATGATTTCATCAGGACTCGTCAGTGTTTTTTAATATCTTTGTGTTTTGGTTTCCCAGGTGATAGAGAAGAACCCCGGAGGTTGGTGGTACGTCCAGATCGGTGAGATGGAGGGCTGGGCGCCCTGCTCTTACATCGACAAACGCAAGAAGCCCAACCTCAACAGACGGAGCAGCACCCTCACCCGACCTAAAGTCCCACCTCCGGCTCCTCCTGTCAAGAAACAAGACCCGGAGGAGGCCCCGCCTCCACCAAACCCCGCCCCCAAAGCCACAGAGACACCCAGCAGGCCTGTTTATGAGGAGCCAGAATACGACGTTCCTGCAGTTGGATGTGAAGGAGAACCTGAAGCTGAGTTTTTGAAGACCGAACGTTCCCAAGATGTGAAAACCAGCAGCGGGGTCGGTGAGAAGTACCACAGCGCCTCTCCATCAAGTAAAGCCTCACCTCCCGTCTGCAAAGCATCCCCAGTTTTCGCCCATCGAAGAACCTCCTACAGATCAGTAGAGGAGATCTCTAAAGAGGAGTGTATCTATGAGAATGATGGTTTTAGACCAAGTAGCGGCGTTGAAGGATTCAAAGCTAAAGGATCCAGCGAACCCAGTTCCCCTAGGAGCTACCATTCCTCCACAGTCCCACGGAAACCGTCCGGATCGTCACCTCTCGCTGGTAGACCCAGAACTCCCATGACACCAGAGATGACTAGAAGAAGCCAGACTCTGGGCAGGCGTGTGGACATGAGGTCTCATGACAACAGCCCTCATTCTTCATCAGATGAGCTGGGCAGAGGTCCCAAGAAAAGTCCTGCCCTCAATCGAGATCCGTTACAGGGAATAGGTCAGAGCCCTTCCACCAGGCCCAAGCCTTCCGTCAGACCGAAACCCCTCCTGACTAAATCCGAACCCCAGAGCCCAGAGAGAATGGACATCAGCTCTCTGAGGCGGCAGCTCCGGCCTACAAGTCAGTTTCGCCACAGCCTGAAACCTTCGCGAGGTGATGACTCTGAGACGGCCTTGGTCATCTCTTCAGAGGGCTCGATGTGTTCTCGGAGTACATCGGATCTGCCTTCTGTTTACTCCAAAGGCAGCCGTGGTATCTCAGACACTGAAGGCCCCACACTGTATCGTTCTGTAGATTTTTACAAGAAGGTCCAGGACTCTGAGATTAGCTTCCCAGCTGGTGTGGAGGTTGAGCTTCTCGAGAAGCAGGAGAGCGGTTGGTGGTACGTCCGTTGGGGCGAGGAGGAGGGCTGGGCTCCCTCATACTACCTAGAACCTGTCAAGAAGGTAGGGGATGTCGGAGTGTTGGAGTCAGATGGAACTAGCGGTACTAAGTCCAACAGCCTGGAGAAGAATGAGCAGCATGTTTTGGCCCTGAACAACATCAACATTCAGGTTCTGACTCAGCAGCATCAAGGAATGAGGAGAAACTCGCCACCAATTCCATCCAAGCCTCCCGGAGGCTTCTCAAAGCCCTCGGGTTTAGTTAACGGAGGCGTGCGGATGAGAAACGGGGTGCGGCAGGTGGCGGTTAGGCCTCAGTCTGTCTTTGTGACCACATCCCAGTCAGCTAAGGACTCGCACTACATGACGGGGTCTTTAAGGAGAAACGAATCTCTTGGCAGAAGTGATCACTACAGCTCGGGTTCTGCCACCCTCGGCGTTCGCAGAAACGCCTCTTTTAGCACCGTGCGGCCTCACGTTGTTGTTGAAAGTCACACGAGGCCCATCGAGCGCTCCACTTTGGGGTCCTCGGGGACCGCATTCAGCACAAGCAACGTCCAAGATGCCCTAAGCCGAGCCAACCAACGCAACGGGATCCCCGTGTCCACCGTTCGGCCCAAGCCCATCGAGAAGAGCCAGCTGATCCACAACAACCTCGGCAGAGACGTGTACGTGTCCATCGCTGACTATCGTGGCGACGAGGAAACGATGGGCTTCACGGAAGGAACGTGTCTGGAAGTCCTGGAGAGAAACCCCAATGGATGGTGGTACTGCCAGGTGCAGGACAGCCTGATTCCTCGAAAGGGCTGGGTTCCATCCAACTATCTAGAGCGGAAAAAATAGGCCCACGTCCTTACCCCAGGCTTCTCACCCCCATTTGTGATGCCTCCAAAGAGCTGGGTGGCGTCACTCCTTAAGAATGTTATCTGCAATCCCCCTTAAGCAATACGTCCTTAAATTGAACATTTATGAAAAGACGGAGCTCAAAGAGGAGGTAACCTCATACCTGTGCCGGTTTGATAAAATGTGCACAGAAACCATTTTAAATGACTCAGCAGGAAGTTTCAGGTGGACGGCACGGATGACCTCTTAAAGAGGACTGAGTCTGAGCAGAGCAACGCTCTGATTTTCCTGCCCATCAGTGACTTTGGTGGCCGATAAGTGCCTTTTGTTTCTGATCACCTGAACCGAGGGCGTTTCGGTAAATAGTGGACGGCAAAAATGTAATCAACCAAATCTTTTACGAGTGCCATAGTCCAACAACCACCACCAGGAGTTTGAACAAAACCAGCGAGAGCTCCAAGTGTTGAGTCCGAACAAAGTGCAAAAGTTCCGAGCGTTCAGATTTAAAGGCTTGAACGTCGATTCGTTTGTTTCCCGTCGTCAAACTCAAAGACTCGATCTGTCACTTTTGTTTTGTCAGGTTTCTGTTCCAGTGGCTTTTATCGATGCAAGTCTTCCTTAGAGAATTATTTCTGCTGTCTTGTGACATCGGTTTCCAAACAAAAGCTGAGAATCTGAAAAGTTCAAACTCTGAGACAACTAAAAGGGTCAAGGTGCTCGACGGTTGCATAAATTGGCACAAAACGTGTTCAACTCTTATTTAAAATGCAGATGTATTTATGGAAACTGCGAAACGTGAAAGGAACAGATATTCTAAGGAACCTGTGCCTCTTCCGGCAACTTTTGTTGTATATTCTGCCCCAAATCTGATAAAACCAAAGAGAAAAATGTACGTATTTACAAAAAATACGGTACGACGATGTGGCGTGTTCTCTAAAACATTTTCTGTTCCTGGAAGCACTTGACACATAAAGTTACAAAAGACAAAAGGAAACTATTTTGTTGCCTTAAAACCTGGAATTTAATGTGATTATAATTGATATTATCCAAAAATACTTCCATTCAGTGAAGGTAAATTGATAAAAAATGTACAACTGAACGACGTTTTGTCTCTTCAGGTCTGTCTTCGTGGTTTTGGTCCATCTAACCTGGACATTTTGTCAATTGTCCATGTCCAAACATTTCCAGATCATTCAGATTGGACGGTGCTGCATGGGTCCAACAATCTTTAACCCGAACGCTCAAACCAGAGATCCTCAGTTGGACTGTGGTCTGGGTTTTGGCTGGACCATTCCAGGACCTTTACCTGGTCCTCTTTAAACTGCTGAAGGGTTCTTCAGCCGTGTATTTAGGGTCTTTGTCCTGGTGGAAGGTGGACTTCCAGTCCCAGATCTCTGGAAGACTTTTTTGTTTGTTTGTTTCCCAGTTCTTGTTGAAGACAAAGCATCCCCACAGCATGATGCCGCCACCACCATGCTTCACAGAGGAGACTGTGTTTTCCTGGTCTACCTTTGTGATTAGTTTCCTCCTTACTTGCTCTGTTCTGGTGGTTGACCCTCTTTTGGAGCTCCGTGGGATGTTCAGGGTTCGGAGTTCCTTGGTCTTCATGATGTCTCTGCTGTACTTGGAGGTGTTGACTTTGGGAGCTATCAGACCGGGTGGAGATGTGTTTTTAATTGCACACAGGTGGATCTGATTGGACTAACGAGGCTTCAACGAGGGGGTGGATCCTTATGCGTGCACCATTTTAGTCAAATTATTACTAATGGAGTAAAAATCCGGTTAATTTCCAGGCTGTACGGCAACAAAATTTTTCTTAAGAGTACAGAACGAAGATGTAAACTAGATTATTCACATTACATTTCATGCCTGAGGTCTAATTTGTTCATTTTCAACGTTTCAGGAACATTTGATGTGATAAAAAGTATAAATGTAGTCGGCTGAATCACATGACTCCGCCCACATTCCTAAGAGTTTTAACGAGGTTTGAGCGGCTGATGTTCAAGACTGCAGGAATGGATTTTCTAACAACGACGCTGAGTTAATATGTTTATGTTGGATGGCGCCATATTCCCCATCAAAGCTCGCAGTTATTTTAACAAAACCGTGTTTGTGGCTTCGTGACGGCACGACAGTAACGAGGAGCGAAGTGTGTCGTGAGTTAGTGCACTTTAAGACAAAACGTCTTTACGGTGCATTAACGTAAAGATGCAGCATTTTATTTATTGCTTCTTCTGTTTGAATTGGACTCAGAGCCTCTAATGAAGGCGATGTGTTTGGTACAAATTGGGTGGAGGTTGTCGGTTCTACACCGTGGTCCTACCTCAGTGCACGAAGCGAATGCACTGCTGGTCAGTGAGTCTCCCTAAAACTGGACGGCAAACTAAAGATTTGAGTCAGCGAGCAGCTGAAAGGAGCGCGATTAGTTTTGTTTTCAGGCTGTAACTTATTTTTTTAAGGAATTTGTTTTGGATGCCGTGTGCTGCAACTTTAGCAAATCATGGACACTTCCTTCATCTTTATTGTTCTTTACATAATGCCAGATTATTAAAAACATATTTATTACTGAGAGTTTTTGTCCTTTTGTGGTTTGACCATCACCAAATTTATGTTCTTCAGAGACGCTTTGGTCTGATTTGGTCTGAGTGCAACATTTTACTGATCTGTTACACAAATGAACATTAAAACAGGATAAAATATCAGATTTTAACTTCTCCTTGTTGACGACGGCATTATGTAAACGTGTCGAATCACTTTTATTTGTTTTTCAAATATGTTGTGATGTCATACATCATGTTATCTCATACCTCATGTCATGTTATACATCATGGAATGTTATACATCGTGTCATGTCATACATCCCATGATGTATGAAATGACATGATATAATGTCATACATGACACGATGTATGACGTGATACCATGTATGACATGACATGATGGATGACATGACAATGTATGTCATGTATGACATGATGTATGACATGAAAAAATGTATGACAAAACGAATGACATTCCATGATATATGACATGACATGATGTATGACGTACGTCATGTCATGCATCATGTCATGTTATACATCATGTCATACATGTCATGATGTATGATATGACAATATAATGTCATACATCATGTCAT